AAAGCAGCAGCCCTGGATAAGGAAGCAGGAGAAAGAAGTCACTCATGGGCTGGATCTGAGCCCTGTTGGGGCTGGATCCGACCCATGGGCCATATGTTTGACACCCCATCTGTAGAGGTTCTCACTCTTATGGTTGTGAGTGAGCAAGAATCTAGAAAATTAATAGAGTGACAGGAAACCAATGTAGATGATAATACAGAAGGTAGCTGAGAATAATAATGTAGTATCCTATCTTGATATGTACAGCTTGATCTCCAGGTATAAAAGCAAGTCAAAACAGTGTTAAGCTTAAATGTGAGCTTTGTAAAGAAAAAAATGAAAATGAAAATCTTTTTCCTAACATATATACTTTAAAGTGCCTTAATATTTTCTCATTTAGAAAGTATAGTTGTTAACTATTGTAGAGTGAGGTTATTTCACAATAAACACTTATGACTAAGCGGTGTTGCTACTATTAAGGTGAACTTTCAAGAGTTCCTCTTTTCTGTTTACAAGTATATGCATCTCAATATCTTCCTGATTTAGAAAAAGGAATGTGGTACTAATGAACTTCATTGGGACAGTTAATGCAACCTTTCAAAATTTCCTATCTTACAACAGTGCAAAGATTAAGGTGGGATAGCATTCCCCAGTCTTGCAGTTTCATTACACAGGACATTAAAATAGCTTGTAAGCAAATTGATTCAAATAAAATCTCCCCTTCATATTCCATTCAGTATGTCTGAAACACTGCATTCTTGTATAACTTGATCACTTGCTGTAAAAAGTGATCAAGTTATACAACATCAAAACAATCAATATATCTAATTCTCAACATGGCCCTATCTATAGATACTTAAATCCAGAGACAAGACAGATCTTTCTGCAAAACTGAGAAAGCCCTGAAATCTGCAGAAAAATCTGGAATCTTTAAAAAATAAGAGAGAAGGATGAGACATACTGTGGTGCAGTGGTTAGACTTAGATCTGGGAAACAAAAGTCCAGTTGCCTACTCTGCCATGGCAACTTGCTGGGGGAACCTTGGGCCAGTCGCTTTCTGTCAGCCTAATCTACTTCACAGGGTGCTTGTGAGGATGAAATGGAGAAAAGGTGAATGGCATAAGCTGTTTTGGGTTCCCATTGAGTATGGTGGGGTATAAATGAAATAAATAATAAAACTGAAGGGGGTTGGCAGATAAAGGTTGGCTGATGAGTGGGAAGGAGAAGAGGAAGCAGGGAAAGGGGAGATTATATGGAGGCTGCCAAGAGGAGAGAAAGAAGAAATAGTGTGGGGAAGGGGATAGAGGGGAAAATGAAGTGATGGCTACAAGTCTTTGTGGGTTCTCCACTTGTACTGTCCTATGAAAATGTAAGCATGACTGGCATATTGATACCTTTGTTTTTAATCAACACTTTAAGTAAGCCTTTCTAATGGTATTTTGAGGCTTACTGTTGGCAGTTGTGCAAGTTACAGTGTCTTGAGCTTCCTTGATCGGTTGGATCCACGTGGGAACGAATGTTCTTGAGCCTGTGAAAGTAAGCTGTAAGATTCTAACCAGTATAAGGGGTCCGGAAAGGAAAGAATGTGCTTGTACAGGATTAGCCCACCCAGGCCAGGCCAGGAATGAGAGGGAATCCTATACTTTTCAGTACATTAAACAACAAACCACGAGATGGTCTATACCCTCTCTGGTTTCCAGACAATTTGCCACCAGAACCTCTTTTCACTAGTCCCTGCTTTTCCCAAGGGGAAGAGATTCCAAACTCTTAGTTGGCATCTGGGACAGAACACATTAGCAACTCAATCCAGAGATGCATGCTTTTTACCCTCCAATGGTAGCATATGTGGTGAGTGTTAGGCCCAAGATTTTAGACTTGGAATCCAAGTTACAACATCAAAGACCATTAGAAATAAGAAGGATCTTTATTCAGTACAGAGCACAGCAAACAGACTAGGAGATTACAAAATAACAAAGGCTAGGGCAATTTGCCTTAACTTCACATTAATGAGATTCATAGTTACCAAATTCAGGAGCATCCAACAGTCCAAGTATATACCAAGGGATTTTGAAGGGAAATCCCATCTTGCACAAGCATGTGGTCCAATTCACAAAGCAGGTCTTTGTTTTCCAATAGACAGCATTTCAGGTGCAATAAAACAGACAATGACAGGGGAGAGAGCAAGAGCAAGAGAACTCACTCCCATAGGGATCAATCAATTATACCCCAATCTAATCATGATTAGCCATGGCCATTTGGCCAATTACGAGTGGACAGGGGGTGTGCCCAATTGTTGGTTGTCATAGCTGCGTGTGGGGATAGGCTATAAGTTTGGGACCCCGCCTGCTGTCATCTGACCCAAACTCCAGCTACTTCATTGTGTACGTGACTGGTCGCAAGTGAGCCAGAGTGTGAAGCCTTACAGTCTAGCTTCTAGCATGGAAGTGTGAAGAATGTGGGTTATAAAGTTGTTCAGGCCATCTGGCCCACCATTTGGCTTGCAACAGGAAATAAGGCACAGCCTGTTATCATAATGTAATCACAGGAGAAGGCATGTGGATATAGAAAGCAGAAAGCAATTTTTCTATACAGTGCTTCAGCTGAGAAACCAGTGTATTTGAGAATATACAACTCACACAATATCATTGCATACTCTGATATGTAAGATAGTATATGAAAACAAGCGAGATAACAAATGGAAGTTGCATAAGGGAAACTGACTAGTGTGTCAATCACCAATGACTCCTTTATCCTAGTTTGTTTAATCTGAAACAAGACTTGTATAAGATATTGCATAGCTGGTGTCTTACTCTTTACATAATGAACATAGAATAAAGGAACAGTAAATATAAATATGGAGTGTTCCTTTGTGGACTTCATCTACAAGTTGCAGAAATCTTCTGATTTTAAGAATGTTGAGCTAAAATTCTAAAGGAAACTATGCTGACTCTCTAGCCTCTACCCCACACTGGTGACAAGGCGCAGTTCAGTCTTCCTGGATTTCAGTTTGGGCTTTCCAGTATCAAACCTTGGGCAGTGAAACTGCTAGAATGTTGGTGAGAAAACTATTAATCTATGACCTGGAAATCTAAACTCTGGGGAGAAATTTGGATGGGAAGAATTTCATGAGCACCATTTTAACTGCTAAAAGTAATCTTCTAACAGCAGTGAGCAATGGGTTGGACCAAATGATCCATGACTAGAATGAATACATGGAAGGGGTTTCTTCTGCCTTCTTGTTATGCCCCTCACAGTTGTTTCTGAGGGGCAAGGGTATCTTTGGGAACAGAGTGGGATGGGTTGTGAAGGGTTGTAGCCTGAAGACGGATTTGCCAGAGGTCCTTCCGTATATATGCATTGCAAACCCATCTCTTGTGAGGGCTTTTGCTGTGTTCATGAAGAACTTGTGCAGTGGGGGAGGAGAGTGACCTACACTGGTTTATCTGCTCCTCCAGTACTGCATTTCCCTCTTAATGGGGAGGATTCCCTAACCTCCCTGGGGTTGCAGGGGAAGGGCTGCTGGAGGAAAGGAACTCATTCCTTTTGCAGCAAATGGGTGCGATCCCACCGCAACATCTGGGAATCGGCGTGCACCCGTTCCTGATCCATCCCTTCAGAACGAAAATGCAGTGCAAAAAAGAACCTACTAACTGGTAGGACTTACTTGAAGCACCGCAGCAATCGAGGCTCCCGGCTGAACTGCGCACGCGCACACATGCGCAGTTTGGCTGCCTCACTCTCCTTTCAGTGGCTCCCCCCCTCCGGCATTTGATTGTGCTGGGGAGGAACTGCACGGCGGCTCAGGGGATCTGTGTGATCCCGCCGCTGCGTGTCTCTTTTGGTGCGGCTTTGAAAAGCCGTACTTTGGCCGTACTTTTCCCCCCGTGTGGCAGGGGCCTAAGTTTAGCTGATCTTCCAGTTCTTTGGGTGTAGGCACTGCTAACACTTTCAAATTTGGAACTTTTTTGATCTAAGCTGTAATGTTAACTTCCTTCTGCTGCTTTTAAAGAAAAGACATCAATATAGCATCCAATTGACGAATCTCGTCAAATATTGTTACGATAGAAATCCAGCTAATATGGTTATGATAGAAATCCAGTTTAAGCACGCTGAGGAAGGAACAGGAATAATGAATCTGAGGTGGTGTTCAGCACGCTAATCAGGCACATCAAAACTGTATTAAAGAGACCAGGTGGTCCCTGCAGAAGCTGTTAGATATGGGAGCCTCAAAGTAATTTTTTTTTTTGCTAGAATAGCCTTTTATAGAATGATAGTTTATAAGAGATAACTGATGTGCACGTTGCATCCTAAAAAATGAACTTGTATTCTCAGACTGTTGCTGCTATCTGCATTGGTGGTCTCTTTCTCAGCCTAATTAAGGATTAGAGCTGGGTGTATGTATATCTTTAGGGCCAGAGTAGTGCATGCAACTTCCCTGATAACCGCATGTGTCTCCATGGTGGACATGCCTACTTTTGAGAGGCATGTGTCTATTTGTGTATCATTTCAGCACAGAGTGGCATGTCTAAGTGCAGCTGTAAAGTTGTTGCAGACGGTGTTCTGACTTGCACAACCCCCTAGCTTGTTGTCATGCTCATTCACTCCTTTCATCATGCTTGGAGCATGGTTAAAAACTTCCTGGTTTTGTAACTCCTCAGGCAAACTGATGTACAATAACATCCAAGTGGGGTTACCTAGGTAAATTGGAATTGATTCTTTCCCATAAAGCAGGAATCTACACCACAGTGTAAACTCAGCTTAGAATCCTGGAGCTTCTTTCCGACCATTGCAGCAGATTGTAATGTGACGGTTTCTAAAAGCTAGAAGTGCTCTATTGCCCCTTCAAGTAAGGGGAGGGAGCATGCAAACCGAAAACAAGACACATTAATGCTCATCATGAACCAGCCTCTGTCAGTGTCTGAATAAAGTTGCTGATACATCACTCTCAAAATATGCTTTTTGTGTTACAGTACCATATGAATTATGAAACCTGAATTTTTATAACTGTTGCTCTGGTTTAGGTGATATCTCACTTACAAGGAATACTAAACTGCTCCTGGAATTCAATACGACAAAGCCTTGTCCACAGCAAAGTAGTCAACATCTACAAAGCAGCATCAATTTCTACTGTGGGAAGACTCTGGTTAGTATGGCATTATTGCTTTCCCCCTTTCCGTAAAGACTGTGGATGTGTCTTGGTGGGATCACAGTCCTTTTACACACCACATTCTTGTGGAATTCTATCAGGTTTAGTACTAGAATGCCTTTATATCATTCCTTGATGTATTCCTGTGGCTTAGTCCTCCAGCCTGTGGATATCCTGAAGCTTGCTTAATCATTACTGTTACATACTTACAGAAGGAAGTTCTAATGGAAGATGCTAAATTAGAGGGAACCTGCCTGAAATGACTAAGGTTGCTCCCAGTTCCGTGACGTTGTCTGTCCCTGTTTTTGTAGCTTGCTTCTTCTCTGTCAATACCAAGCTCCCATTTTACCAGAGTAGATATGAATATGGTGCTTACTAGGCTGTAGAGCTATGGAGCTGCGGTGGCTCAAGTGGTTAAGACGCTGAACTGCAGGCTGTGGAAGGTCGGTAGGTCAGCAGTTCGAGACCCGAGTGTGCCGCATGACGGAGTGAGCTCCCGTCTCTAGTTCCAGCTCCTGCCAACCTAGCAGTTTGAAAGCAAGAAATTGCAAGTAGATAAATAGGTACCACTTCGGAGGGAAGGTAACAGCGTTCCGTGCGCCTTGGTGTTTAGTCATGCCGGCCACATGACCACGGAAACGTCTTTGGACAGCGCTGGCTCTTCGGCTTTGAAACGGAGATGAGTACCGCAACCCTAGAGTCGGATTCGACTGGCTTTCGAGCAAGGGAACCTTTACCTTTACTTTAGGCTGTAGGGCTGCCGACCTCCAGGTGGCATCTGGAGATCTCCGGTTATTACAGTTGATGACTGTGATCAGTTTCTCTGGAGAAAACGGCTGCTTTGGAGGGTGGGCTCTATGGCATTAATACCCTGCTGAGGATCCTAACCCTCCCCAAACCCTTCCTTTCCCAGGCTTTGCCACCCCAGGTCTCCAGGTAGTTCACAGCCCGGAACTGGCAACCCTACCAGGCTGTCATATCTCCCCCAAAAGAGCAGTAGTTAGAAAGCTAGGCGCAAGAATTAAATAAGAGCCGGGTTTTTTCATACTTGAGCTTTAGTGATCCTGTAGACTAGCTATTTGTGAAACATGTTTCTGAATATCACCACTTCCTTAATTAGGGTTCGCCAGAATTTGTGGCTTCAACAGACTGTGTGCACTACTTTGAGTGGAAGACACATGTTGCATGCAAGAAGGATTTGTTCAAACCAAAGAAAGAGGTAAGACAACTTATAGGCAGGCAAACAGATCTTGGTTTTTATCGCCTTGCATTCTCAAGGGTCGAAAGATGATGTACTCATTTTGTTAATCCATTTTGTGGGTTCCACTAACGCATCACATATGACTTTATATTCACCTGATTTGTGGTCAGACACTTCACTCATGGTGAACCTTTGTTTTTCAGCCACAGCTTGCACATTGGCAAGAACTTCACTGTTAAAGGGCTCAGGGCTTCTGAGTCTTGAGCACAACCTTGCCACCGTTATAGGAGGAGGAGGCCTGAAAACTACCAAGCCCCCTTCTAGATCGATCCCAAAGCTCAGACCCAGTTTGCAAGGGTTCTGGCACTATTGCCTGTACTCCCTTCCACCCTTGGTTCAGAATCTGCAGCAACAGAGACTTCAGATGTAGAGCCTGTTTGGTTCTCCATAGTCCATCTTCTAAAGCCACACGAGCATGGTCACATCTGCATCCATATTGCCTGTGTGAGAGGATGCATACTTCCCCGAGTAATTTTTCATTGCTGCATTGCAATGTCTGTTTGAATTATGGAATTGCATCCTGCAATTATTTTCAGTGGCTTAATGTCATTAATACGTTTAATTTTTTAGGTGCCCTGCTATGTGTATGATGGCTTGAAGAAACATGACTTGAATCCATTGATTAAGACTTCTGGAGCATACTTGGTTGATGAGTCAGAAGATGATGTAGAGCTACATATAAACATCTGTAGAAACATAGGTTTGAACCTCAGTGTGCATTGTCTGTCAAACACTCCGTAGTGTAGCCTGCTTTCTTTCCTTTTCTAAAAAGCTGTTTCAGCTTTGTGTTTGCATTACATTTTGAGCTTTTATTATTTGAAAGAAGCCATCTTCTGGACAGTATCCCCCCTTGCCATGACACATTCCACCCAATATACTCCATATTGTGTTTTGCTTAAATTCTCTCCACCTGTATGCTGTACCTCCTTTCTTATAATGAGATTGGTGTAATAATGCCATGTTGCTTTCCTCTGTCCTTCAGCACTTTCTTCCCCATGCACTCTCATGCTTAACTGCTTCAAGCATGCTACACTGGGAGGTTTTTTGTCTTATCTAACGTAGAAGATGGCAGCTGAGGTACTGAGTTGCTTAGTGCAACCGAAAAAGGGGAGAAAAACACAACCCTACGTGAGAAAGGTCTCAGCCTTTTTGGTTACCTTTACCGTACTGAGTTGCTTAGTCGATTGACGTTCCCAAGTAATTGTCCCAATGAATAGTGGTGTCCCTGTGAATATTCACTAGTGGGTTTTATAGGCCTGTCAGCAGAGGAGCTAGGCATGCCCAAGATTTCTCTAAACAGTGGCTCCACAGACAGCCAACGCAGTGCTCTGTAGCCACTAGAACTCCTTGCTATCAGCAGCCACAGTATTGAGTCACTTGGCATTCTGCTGAAGTTCTTCATCTTGTTGATAACCTCATAGAGTTGAGTGGTGAGCCTTCTCCAGACTCTTGTTTGCTTTTGTTTTAAGTTTGAGAAGAACAATCCTTTTGCTTGTTTTTGCGGGAGAGAGAGGGCCAAACTGGTTATTGTATCGATTTATGCAAACAGAAGCCCTCTGCCGAAAATGTGTGTTGAAATCAATGCGTGTAGAAAAGGGGCAGCCATGGCAAGCACACTGGCCTCACTAGTCATCCACACACAGTCATTTGACCATGAGCTGTGTTCAGTTGGTTAGTCACGCTTAGGTAGGGCCAGCATACTTGTGCCCACTCCCTCTTTGTGGATGTTGATTTCACTGTGCTGGTGGGGCATCCTCCGTGGCATACCTGACTTTTACCTGACCTTGTTGGATGATTCTCTCTGTTCTCCTCCTGTCCCCCGTCCCCCCCGGCTGCTGCTCCTTTTATAGAAAACGTGGTCAGAGTTAATTGGAAGTCTCTTCAGCCTAACTAAGCCTTCAAAAGCCTGGCCTAGTATTTCTCCTATAAATCTAAAGTTCTGGCAAGGTAATAACAGGCATTGTGTTAACAGGAAAGTCTGGTGCAACTAGGAATTGTCCGGAGGACGCTGCAGCTTGCTTGTTGAAGGATGGCCTTGCACTTGACATGGGACAGCCTAAAGATCAACTCAAGTTTGAAAGAAACAGGTATGCTTGAAATACTTACTCTGAAGGGATGTTTGCATGTTCCTCACAACAATGATATCAAATGTGCATAATTGTCACTGAAACTTTGAAGATGACATTTCTCCCATTTCACTGCCACTTATCAAGAATGTGGGTGACTCTTGTTGTCATTTAGTGTGGTTTCTTTCATATACAGCTTTGGAATTATTCTAACCTTATGTTTATGTGGCAGTTAAGAACTAGAGACAGAATGGTCTAAAGCCCCTTTTTAGCACTTTAGATTGAATTATTTATTTTATTTTAAACATTTCTATGCTGCCTCCTGCCACTTATCAAGAATGCGGGTGGCTCTTGTTGTCAGTTTAGTGTGGTTTCTTTCATATACGGCTTTGGAATTATTCTAACCTTATGTTTGTGTGGCAGTTAAGAACTAGAGACGGAATGGTCTAAAGCCCTTTTTTAGCACTTTAGATTGAATTGTGTTATTTTATTTTAAAACATTTCTATGCTACCTTTCCACTCAAATAGCATCCCCAAGGTGGCAAGCATCAAGACATTAAAACGTTACAACTGCCTTTAAAATATACAAGTGGAAGCCTGCAAGGACTTGCAGGAGGCATAGTTCCCTTGTTCCCATGGAGGAAATGGCTGCTTTGAAGGGTGGAGTACATGGCATCGTACCCCTCTGAGGTCCCCCCCACCTCCTCAAACCTCACCCTCCCCACTCTCCGTCCCCCAGATCTCTAGGAATTTCCTAAGCTGGAGAGGGCAACCCTGTCTCTTTCTCACCCAACAGTCAACCTACCTTGAACAGTACTTGATCCTGTAGAATACTTGCTACTGTTGAACAGTAGCAAGCAGTCAGGCCTAGCTGAGTTGTGCAAGTTGGGTGGTATCAAGTCACACAAAGGTTGCTGCCAGGCCTAGGGTTGTCAACCTCCAGGTGGGACCTGGGGATCTTCCAGAATTACAGCTGAGCTCCAGATGACAGGGGCTAGTCCCTCTGGAGAAAATGGCTGTTTTGGAGGGTGGACTCTATGACATTATATCCAGACATTATTTCCTCTGCCTCCCCAAACCCTGCCCTCCTCAGACTCCACCCCAACATCTCCAGGAATTTCACAAACTTGAATTGGCAAGCCTAGCTAGGTCTGGCCCCAATGAATCCTCTTTTAAAGGCCAAAATGGTCATGGAAAATCCCCCCCCCCGGTCTTTCAGTGACATAACCAAGCCTGGAATACTATGGTTGCCTAGCAACAACCACTGAGGGACTCCGTTGCTTAATGCTACAGGTGCTCCTTTTATCATTTTCGGGGTTTTAATACCCCAATGTATTTTTTTTTAATTACACCTTTTCCTGCAAACCTAGAACAGTTTTCAGGTTTGTAGAAACATCTGCCTTGTCCGTTCACAGCTCCAATCACCAGTTTTATATATGCTAAGATTTTGCCAACTTTGCTCTTAGTGTATAGATGTGTAATATATTTAATCATACTATAAAAATGTAAAGGCTTACAAACACAACCAGGGAGGAGGGCCAGTAAGAATTTACCGGAAGGATATGCCGAACAAAACAAAAGTCTTCACCTGCTGATGGAAGATGATGACACCACCTTGGTGGCCAATGGGTGGAGTAGCAGGCTAAGATGACCATTTGCTTACTTGGCCAGAGGTGAAACTAGCCTAATGTATCCAATGATGCTGAATTTTCTGGGGACCACCTAAATTAAAATGTTCCTGAAAGATGGTAAAATGGCAGTGTTTGGTCCTGTTTCTGAAATTTATGCGTGTCTTAATATTTTAAATCTCTTCCTAGTTTGAACAGATATTTCGCATTGTATTACATGATTTCCTTCTTGCCTTCTAGGCTTGTTTTGACATACGAGAGACAATTTAGCCATCAGGAAGAGAAGCCAGACTTCTGTCATGGACATAACCCAGCAGTGACTATTACTTTTGTCTGCCCACAGGGGAGGAGAGGAGAGGTAACTACAGTCTCCCATAATTGGTGTCAAGTCTGTACTGCTCAGCTAGTGAAACTGATGGATCAAGCCTTCAGCCCTAAAATTCCCCCTACTAAGGCTGCAATATAGATCTCATGTCTGAAGCCCAAAAAAGACCAGACCGGACTAATTGCTGTAGATCAAATGATTATGTGTTTAAATACCACCTATTTATAAATGTTGCATTGCTTGGTAAGCTTAGAATCCAAGGTTAGGCATGTGCCATTGTGGTGTACCTCATTCCTTTGCTGATGCTTGGATACCCGTTTCCTATGCTAGGTGGGTGGCAGCAGCTGCAGCAGCATTTGAAAGAACCCATTGAACAGTGCTGTGATACAGTAGCATTTTTGAGTATTCAGTATATTGGTTTAGAAGCCTAATCATATCTTCCCCCTTTCTCTCTCTTCCCCCACCCCCCGGTGTCCCTTCCAATCCCAGTAAAGTTGATTCCTAGGTTTGCAGGATCTGCTTGTACTAATAGCCGTGTGGGGGGAACTGCAGTGCTGCTGGGGAAGTGTTTTTGTCTAGTTTATTTTTATCTTTCCTTTTCTCCTAAAGAGCTCAGGTGACATATTTGGTTCTCCCTTGCTGCTCTTTATCCTCACAACAATCTTACAAGGAATGAAGCTGCCCTTGTATTAGTGAAGCTATGCATCACTTTACCTCCTGCTCCTCCCTCCACCCTCCCCTTGTCTCACTTCACTAGTAGGCTATGTTGGGTCCCTCGACCAAAATTTCCCAGAATCCGAAGGGACTCCTGCAGGGAGGGAGATGTGGGAAAGATCTGTGATCTTTGAGGCCACAGATTACGGGATTCAGCCCCACTTTTTTCCCACTGCCAAATGTACCATTGGAATAGGAGTATATATGATTTTCACTAATTCCTCCCTCCCGCTGCAGGCACCGTATTATAGGTGGCCCTTTGACCTCTCAGAAGCATGGCTTGAGGGAGTACACCAAGCCACACGGGGGGAACTATACAGGGAAGTTGACTTCTGTAAATTCTGCTTAGCTCATCCTAGATAATGGCTTATAATTAGCTTGTTATCCTTATGTCAACCATGTAAAGCAGGCCCCCCTAGTGCTGTTGGGGGAGGTAAAGTCCCAAATCCTATGGCTATGACTTTGTAGCTAATGTAGCTTTTGATTTTGAATAATTGTTTTGAACGGATGCTAATAGAGAGTTGAAAAATCAGCTATCTGTTTGACTGTGCATTACCCTTACTTATAGAAGTTGAAGTGATTCCCATTCAGGGAGTGCTGTTGTGCATGATAACTTTTTTGCCTAAATTGCTCCCTCCGCTGTACCAGAGGATTTTTCTGAAACTAAAGTGTGGGTGTCTAGAGATTTCATTGTATGAGACTTCTCCCCACCTTGGTGTAAAAATTACAGATTATTTGCTTGTGCTATATAGAGACAGATCTGAAACCAGACATTGGTGAGGCAGTAAATAACAGAAATGCTAAACCTCATTAAAATGCACAGTAGTCTGAAAACTGTCTAGTAAAGGGCAGGATCTGAGTTCTGATACAACTAGGAATAAGGCTCGTTTGTGGAAATACAACGAGCTCTAGAAAGAGGCTCTGGGAGAGTGCCCCAGCCTTGAGCACTCAGTGTTAATTTACTGTGGCGACCTCAGTAGGGTATGACAGTCTACCATTTTCTCCAGAGGAACTGGTCTCTGCTACCTGAATAGCAGTTGTAATTCTGAGTACTCTCCAGCCCTTACCTGGAGATTGGCAACAATGGTTCCTCAGGAGGAAAAGTTGTCTTTCTCTGCAATGGGGACTAAAGCAGTTTACATCATTCTCCTCTCCCCCTTTTGACTTGCACAACAACCCTGTGAGGTAGGTTAGGCTGAAAGTCTGTGACTTGTCCAAAATCAGCTGCCACAGCAAGAACTTGGGTCTAGCAGACACTGCTCTGAAGTGCTGACTGCTATGCCTAGGGTAGCCAACCTCCAGGTGAAGATCGCCAGGTATCACAACTGAACTCCAGACAACAGATCTCCCCCCCCCCGAGAAAATAACTGCTTTAGAGGGTGGGCTCTATGGCATTCTATTCAGCTGAGGCCTCTCCCCTCCTCAAAGCAACACAGCCAGTGGATAGGGACAGCTTCTGAGTGACACATCGTGGAGCCAACTGATTTAGGAGTGTGTGGAATGTTCAGAAAGTGCTACCCCACTACTCAATTACATATAAGGAGAGAGAAGTGACGTTGGCTTGGGTCAAATTTGTGTGTGTTGTCTAATCCTGGAGGCAGTCATCTTATTCTGCAGATATGGATAGTCACCTCATGTCTGCCTAAGTTTCTTTGACCCTTTTGGTTACGTTATCTGTATATGTTTTTCCATATCAGGGCACATACCCCAAACTCACTGCTGAGAGCAACTGTCGGTACGAGATTGAATGGGTTACAGAATCTGCTTGTCACAGGGATTACTTAGAGAGTAAAGATTGTACTCTGACCAGTGAGCAGCATGATATCTTTGTAAATTTGACACCTCTCACACAAGATCCTGGTAAGCATTTTCCCCCTCCCCCCCAATAGAACTGGTACACTTGTAGTATGGAGAAATAATGATAAGGACAGACTAAAGAGGCAATTTGAGCATCTATCCAGCACTTTACCACATACCTGCAGGGGTTTAAACCATTTCTAGATTTCTGTTTGAATGCATGAAGCTAACATGTCAGGGAGAAAACAAGGTTAGAAGCCTTTTTGCCCTGCTGTATTAGGTGCCCATGTATACGGAGACTAGTATGGAGACATACTGAAAAAAGTGTGCCACTCCCCTCCACCATGCTTTCTAGAGAAGAATGTCCCATCAGCTCTGTATAGCATCCAGCCTCAATTGCCTCAGAATTTGGTCTTGTAAAGAACCAGAATGCTACTTACCAAAAATAGGAAGAAGTAACTGGTGAATTCTTAGAGAGCGCCTCTGTAAAAATAGATTTTTTTTGGGGGGGAGAGTTGTAACTGTACTGTCCGTTCTGTTTCCTTAATTTAAAAAAAGTAGTGACTGAGCATCCTGCTGCTGAATCATGTGAGAAATGTTTGTATGAGCTTTTGAAGTGGCTAATTGAAAGGACTGAATAGAGATGCAGCCATGAGGGTGTGGAAACTCGGTTGCGTGTGTGCTTTTGCATTAAGCACCTACTTTTATAGAACAAATTTAGACTCCAGGGGCACCTTTAAGACCAACAAAGGTTTATTCAAGGTATGAGCTTTTGTGTGCACGCACACTTTTTCAAATATACTGGAATGGAAGGTAACACTTCAAACTTATAGACAGGCTGAACAGCAAATTAGCATGTAACATGATGAAGATGTTTTAAGATATGCAAGTCAAAACTAAATAACAAGCTAAAGTTGTAAGATCATCAGTTGTAAATCAATAAATATATCAAAATAAGACTGAGACTTCTCCATTCATTCTTCCACGCCTGAGAAGAGTGAATGGAGAGTCTCAGTCTTATTTTGATATATTTATTGATTTACAACTGATGATCTTACAACCTTAGCTTGTTATTTAGTTTTGACTTGCATATCTTAGCACATCTTCATCATGTTATATGCTAATTTGCTGTTCAGTCCCTGTCTATAAGTTTGAACCTTACCTTCCATTCCAGTGTATTTGAAAAAGTGTGTGTGCACACAAAAGCTCATACCTCGACTAAAACTTGGTTGGTCTTAGAGGTGCCACTGGACTCTAAATTTGTTCTACTGCTTCAGACCAACACGGCTGACCATCTGGATCCACAGACTTCTGTGTGGGCCTTCACAACCATTTTCCTGTAGTTATACTTCAGCTGTCATTGCCCTTCCTTTCTTTAGGCTATGTATCAGCTTATCTTGCTAAAGATGAAGAAGAGTATTACTATTACCTTAATGTATGTGGGAAAACAACTGCAGGCAACTGTGGAAATGACGGCTATATTTCTGCTTGCCAATCCAAACCTCACAGTAAGCAGCATAAAGTGGCAGGAAGATTTGCAAATCAAACCCTCAGGTGTGTACTTGACTTATAGCTGTTAGAACATCTTTTTCTACATAGCCGAGGAACTTGGCAGGTATTCATAGGAAGGGTTCCAGGCACAAGACTTATCTTGTCAAGCTATCACTCATGGTTTTGGAAGGAAACAATGGATAAATCGGGTGTCCCCCAACCTTTTTGGGCCTGCGGGCACCTTTGAAATTCTAGTATAGCATGGTGGGTGCTAGGGTTGCCAGGTCTCATCTTATCTGTGGCGGGGGGCTCCTGGCTTCTCACTGGGACTTTTCTGCCATGCGTGCAAAGCAATGATGTCACCGGTAGTGCCGTCATCAAGCTAGGGCTGTTGCACGCGATGCTCTAGCATTCAAGGCAAAATGGTAACCATAGAGTTTCCCCTCAAATGCTAGAGCATTGCTGCATGATGCCCCCAGCATGATGTTACTACCATTGCATTAGTGGAGGTCCACGGGACACTGCTGTTTGGGGGTGGGGTGAGGCTTTCCCTGCCGGCTAGCTGGCTGGCAGCTGAATGGGGCCCCCCAAATCAGGGGATCCCCTGGCCCAGCAGGGGGAATGGCAACCCTAGTGGGTGCAACCATAAAACAGCTGCTGTAGGAGGGCGGAGTCAGCCACAAAATGGCTGCTGCAGCTTACCTTCAGTCACATAGTAAAGATCCTTGTGCTGTGGTGGCAGTTGATGCCAAATCAACATTCTTAAAAATCTGCACAGCCAATCAGAAGCCTTGCTGGGCAGAAGCACCACCCACTTTCTTAAAACACTTGGTGGGCACCAGGAAATGTTTCAGTTGGTACCACTTTGGGGGATCTCTGATATAAAATATAATTAGGCAAGAAAAAAAACCAGACCAGGCAAATGTAACTGGATTGATAGTAGGGGAAAATACCGTTTACTTTTGACATTCCCCATCCCTACAAGTCCTGCCAGGTCCCTACTTTGCTCCTGCCTTTGGAGAAGAGAGAACATCTCCTGGGAATGTCCCAGCCGGTATGTTCTAGGAGACTGAAGAATGGCTGACAAGGGGTAGAGCAGTCTCCCCTTTCCAGCCATTGTTGGGGCAATGTGAAAAATCATTCACAACATTTTGTTGTGGATTCCCATTCGTCGCTGTCAACTTTATCCCAAATACCTTTTACAGCAATGTGCTTAAAAAAATGATGGGATCAAATTGAAAAACTGTATTTGGGCTGGTAAGAATGTTCTCTGTATGCTGGGATGCAACCACTGGTTTTAGCCAGGTCACTGTTGTATCTGTTCAAAAGTGTTACCCCTGTTTTTTAGACCCACACATTTAGATTCTTGCTTTTTGGCAGTGTGTGGCTCTGAATTGTAACATGTATAAAAAGGATAGGAATGGTACCCAAGGTATTGTGCCTACTTTTTCAAAACCGCCTTTTGCCCTGACATATACAATTTATGTTCTTCCGTCTGCTATGGCAAAACTGTATCATACAACACCCATTCATCCAAAATGTTGTGTTTTAGGGAAAATAGTATATTTTCTGGCACGTGTCCTTCAGTCACCTGGTTTCCTAGGCTGGTTGGGACTGCCATGTTAGGGAATGCCTGACTTTTTCACCTTACAATGTATGTCTGGCACACAGAAGGGAGGGATTTGTCTTGGATGTTCCCTAATACAAGCTGCTTCAAAAGAAAAGCTGTTCTTGTTGGCCTACAAATAATAATTTAACTTTTCAGTGGATATGCAGACAAAATTATTAATCCCAAATGGACAGCTCTGCTTAGAAACCCCTGGACCGGATGCAGAGTCTGTTGAACCCTTTTTGTTTTCTGTTAGTTGGGCTACTGACAGGCCTCTGATTAGCATAGTAAGATGATATAAGAGAGAGCTTATTTTCTCTCTCTCAAAAAAAAAATCAGGTATGCTGATGGGGACCTCATCCTAACGTACCCAGGAGGAGACACTTGCAGCTCTGGTTTCCAGCGGATGACTGTCATAAACTTTGAATGCAATCAAACAGCAGGTAACGAATGTGCAGGCGATCTGTGAACTGGTTGGAGGAGTGGCCATCCTCCTCCCTGCAAGAAAGGAGCTTTGAAGGCTCCGTTCTTTTAGAGATCCAGTTTCTTCGGTATGCCGATGAGGACTCGCTGCTACAGTATGGTTCCGCCTCTAGTTGTAGATTGTGCTCCACCTGGGAAAAAGGTCCTTCAGTATGTAACTAAAGCACAAGGGAAATCCACGGAGGACAGATGTATAGCTGACTGTTAGCCATGAGGGGTGGAACTCTCATGTTCGTAGGGAGTACACCTCTGAGTTTTAAATGCTGGGGGAAAGCTGGGGATGTCTCATGCCTTTGTGCCCTGCCTGCAAGCTCTCCAGAGCCATTAGGCTGGTCATTTGCAGGGTAAGACTACTGGGTTAGAGGGGCCTTTCCTCTGGTTCAGTAGGACAGTCCTTGCATTCTTGCATCCTTTTTATATAGCACAATCTTAAATTTTTGAGAGAATTTTTAAGTTTGCATAGAAGCTCTTTATAGAGATTTCTGTACCTTTTGACCTGGGATGTGTGTGTGTGTGTGTGTGTGTGTGTGTGTGGTGGTCCATATTGTTTATTTTTTCCTATCTTATTTCATGCTCTTCTTTTACTTTGGGGAACTCACAAAGCCAATGATGGCAAAGGAGCCCCAGAGTATGTAGGTGAAACAGACTGCACATATTACTTCACATGGGAGACGAAATATGCCTGTGTTGGAGAAAAGGAAGGTCTCCCTTGCAGGATTGTGGATAAGAAGAAGCACTATGACTTGTCACGACTGATCCGCCATTCTGGTACGGCTGTTTTAAAATGTGTTACCTTGATTGTTGGTGTTCTTATTTAACCATCTCAAATGCTGTACGCAGAGAAGATGCTTTAAGCAGTATACGTGGAAATTTTATTCCACCATCTCTTCCACCTCAGACAAGAGATTATACATTGTTGCAAGGCAATGATCAGACACTGGTGATCTCTAAAGCAGGTAGAAATAACAGAAATTAGTTGGGAAATAACAGAAAATGTCTCTAGCCCTCTTTACAAGTTACAGTGAACATATGTACAATTTGTGTACAGTGCACACTTGATTTTTCTTCATACACGCATTGAGTAATTCTCATGTTGTGTTCAACTCATACAGCTGAACATGTGATTTAAATCCCACATTTATCCAGGTGCTGGTTCCCCGATTTATTTATAAAGTAAACACATGTTGGCTGTTCCTTAAAAACAGGTGTATGCATGTACTTACAGGTTGTACATACATTCACTGTAACATGCGAACAGGGCTTCAGTGCCTACTGGTCAGTTGAACATAGTGCAATAAAATGTAGCTCCTGCTGCAGTATAAATCTGCTGAACAGCATAGGATGAGCCTTTTTGGTTGCTTTTCCAATTTTCTCAAAAGGGAGGAAAAAGAAGAAGAGATTGGATTTATACCCCGCCCTTCACTTGGAGTCTCAGAGCAGCTTACAAACTCCTTTCCCTTCTCCTCCCCACAACAGACACCCTGTGAGGTGGGTAGGGCTGAGAGAACTCTGACACAAACTGCTCTTTTTCAAGGACAGCTGTGCCAGAGCTTGTGACTGACCCAAGGTCACATCAGCAGGTGCAAGTGGAGGAGTGGGGAATCAAACCCGGTTCTCCCAGATTAGAGTCCGCACGCTTAACCACTACACCAAACAAAAAAGTATGTCATTATCTCCTTTTGCATGGATTATGAGAGGGAGAACAGGAAGGGAAGAGTTTCAGATCTCATGGCCTGATGGTAATGTCAATGGCCACTTTGGGGTCAGGAAGGAGCTTTCCTCCAGGCCAGATTGGCCAGGGATCCTGGAGGCTTTTTGCCTTCCTCTGGGCATAGAGTAGGGGGTCATTGGAGGAGTGGAGAGGAGGGTACTTATGAATTACTTGTCTTGAGCAGGGAGCTGGACTAGATGATCCTTCGAGTCCCTTCCAACTCTATATTTCTGTGTTTCCTTCCCGTTGCTTTGGGTCACGTCAGGGATGGCGAGGCAGTATAAGAATCAAGTCTTTGTATTTACTTTTCCTTGGTGACCTGCTTGAACAGTTTGCATTTCTTCAGTGCATTGTGCACTGAAGGAAAGACCAAATAGCCCGCAGCAGTTCAATCCCTTTAGACAGGCCTGGCTTCTAAAAATGGCGCTTCATGTAAACATGTGACTTCTCACCTTTAGAGTCGGAGCAGAACTGGGAGGCTGTAGACAGTACTCTTGCGGAAGCAGAAAAGAAACGCTTTTTCATAAATGTCTGTCACAATGTACTTCAAAAAGGAGGAGCAGCAAACTGTTCAGAAGAGGCATCCATTTGCTCGGTTGGTGAGTGTGCCACTGGTAACAAGATGGTGCATAATCTGGTCAAAACAGATGAGTATTGGTTCATGATTATAAACTCAAGTGTCTGTTGAAGACCCTGCCATCTCGGATTTTATAATACTTCGGTTTTAGGCATGAGAGCTGAAAATGCATACTATGAAAATTTTGCATTTACTGACTTTAGTTGAAGGAAACCCTGGACCCAGACCCCCCCCCCCCTTGTAGTAGCTTAACTGTATGATAAGTTGAAAAATCCAGCCATATGTGCTCCGAATCCTGTAACTCCTTGGGTTGGTTCTGGGTGAGCAGGGTCTGTTAAATCAGCTAGCTGGTGTTTAGAATGTCCTCCCCCCCTCTTTGTTCTCATTATATTGTGGATTGCTCTCTATCCTCAACAGATGAACACATAGAATGAGTTTTAATTGATTTTAAAATAATTCTTAGAAAGGATCTCTCTCTTTGCCTGAATTGGTCTTTCTCTACAAGGTTTTATTTTTTCATGTTCTTGGAGGGGACTTACTCTAAGCTTCCTATTTCAGTTTCCATAAGACTTTCCACTGAAGCAGATGTCTGTATTTCTTTTGTGTGTGGCTTTAGGAAAAAATGGTGCAAAAAACCTTGGGACATTCATGTCACCTCCCACAAAAGTCGAAGAGTCTATTCAGCTTGTCTATTCCAATGGCGATTCCTGTGGGCAAAACAGGAAAATTGAAACCAGGATATCCCTTATATGCAAGCCAGGTGAGTGAGTCCTGTGTGTGTATGTTTTAAGTGGCTGGTTAAAACAAAGGTCTGTCTCCTACAGTCTTGAACAGCTAAGTCCAAAGTTTTGAAAAGTAGTGAAACCAGTAGCATTAAGGTCCAGGGGTCTGACCAGCTTCCTTCATATGAAAAAGACCACTCATGTAACTTGGTGTGGAGCCCATGCACTACCCTAAGCATGGTAGAGCCTCTGTCTCAGGTCCTGTTTCAATTATGGTGGTAGATCTATATGTTAAAATGCTCTTCTCTCTCTTATACATTGCTGTGTGGTAGCCTCTTCTGCTCATACAAGCAAGGGAGTATGGCAGGTTGGCATGAGGGTGTAGCCTATGTGGTTGTTAACTACTGTTCTGTGCCTTGCGTGGACTGATATCCCCAAAAATGTGAACAGGAGGCGTGGATCTGGATTCCAGAATGCTTCCGTATCACCTCTGACTTAACAGAAAGTTTAGCATGAAATGTCTCATGATAAGAGGTCTCAGAGCAAAACTCAGAAGAAGGATTCATTATACTACACTCCTAAAGTTCTTTGGTGGCATAAGAACATAAGAGAAGCCAGTGTTGGACCAGGCCAATGGCCCATCCAGTCCAACATCTGTCACACAGTGGCCAAAAATACCAGGTGCCATCAGGAGGTCCAGCAGGGGGGGCAGGACCCTAGAAGCCCTCTCACTGTTGCCCCCCCCCCCCCCGCAAGCACCAAGAATACAGTGCATCACTTGCCCCAGACTGAGAGTTCCTATCTGTACCTTGAGGCTAATGGCCACTGATGGACCTCTGCTCCATATGTTTATCTAATTCCCTCTTGAAGATATCCATGCTTGAAGCTGCCACCATCTCCTAACCTGTGGTATATATTTTTTCCTGAGCTTCTAGGAGGAGTTACCCCTTTTAAAGTTAAAAGTAGCTGTGTCAGTCTTTTAGGGCACCTCCCTATTTATACAAGTGTTGAACTCAATAACATTATGTTCACTGTTCCCAAGCGGTGCAATCACTTTTACATCTCTCACCAGGTCTTGGGCATTACTTAGGACCAAATCCAGGATGCCTCTCCCCTGGTAGGTTCTGTGACCATCTTCTCCACAGCACAGTCATTGAGAGTGTTTGAGGCTGTGTTTACAACAGCACTGTGAGATGAGTTACACTGAGAATAAATGGTCAAAAAGTACCCAGGAAGTTTCATGACTATATAAGAATTTGAACACAATCCTAACCTCTCTACCAACCTGGCTTTCTGTCTCTGCTTTTTCAATAGTTCTCTTTAGGAGTCTTGTCCTTTTTTTTTTTCATCTTGATCAGTTGTGAGGCAAAGCACCCTGATTTCCTCCCAAGGGTTAATGTGAATATTAGCAGGCCTGCTCTGGCTTGCAGGTCTCCATAACTGGGCCTCCCTGCCTACACCATCCCTGGATGGTGGATTCATGAATGTGGTAGTTGGCTCATCATGGGAAACTGTGTTCAGTTTTGTAACTCAATGGAAGGGGGGAGACAGGAGCGGTGTCGTAATCTTCTAGAGAGTTCCAGCAAGCAAGCGCCCTCATTGGGTTTGAAAGAACACCTGACGCCAGATGGCAAGAGACTATAATTAAACCATAGACAGGAGGGAAGCCATGCTGACTTTAGGATTCCACAGGACAGTGGCTCTGACTATGCCAAGCTTCATTGCAATGGACAGCTACATAGACAGTGCTTGAACCTCTGGCTTGGACTTTGATATTCAAAAGGTGTGCCATCTAATACGAGGTACTGAAGTATTAGAAAAGTTAGCTTTCTCATTTTCTTGCTGCAAGACCACAGAGACTGTGTTGCCGAGTAATTATCTTATTCTTTAAATACTTAATAAACCTTCATATATTTTATCAAGATTTGGTTTCTTGTGTGCCTGTAGCCTTGAGAACCTGCAACCCTGAGTGCTGCTTGCTTGTCCATGGGGTAGTGGCTCAGAGGGACCCAGGCTTGGGTCCTCGACATCCGTTTATTCTGGGAATAGCAGAATGTGGCAGACTACTGAGCCGTAGGTTTTATCGGGCAGCACGTAGCCTGCATAAACTTACTGTCAAACTGTAGATCCTCCTGGAAATCCGTACCGCAAGTAGTATAGTGTTCTGGCTGCTCCACCTTAGTGAAATTACATTATTAGAGGCAAGAGAAAGAGGACCATGAATGATGCAGATCGTACATGATGAGAGACTTAAGAGTTAGGGCTCTCCTCTTGAGAAGAAACTGAGTAGGCAATACTACAGGACTTGACTCGCAAATGTATTTATTGTTGGAGGCAAGGGGGGGAAGTGTCTGTTCTCAAGTAATGTAAACGGTCAGCTCTCTTGAAATTAAACAGGCACTTATTGAAGCAAACTATCAAAAGGTCTGTTGAGTGCAAAATTAAAGAGGGCAGCCCCCCCGCCCCCCAGCTAGCTTTTTGCAAATAAACAGGGTTGTTCAGTTCAGTATTACCTTGCTGTTTTGTTTCCAGGTGATCTGGAAAGTGCTCCTGTTTTGGTGAACTCCGAGTATGATGAGTGCTTGTATAAGTTTGAATGGCATACTGCTGCTGCCTGTGTCCTGTCTAAAACAAAAGGTGACAACTGCAGGGTGTCTGACTCGCAAGCAGGTAAATATTCAGTCTACCATAATACTTCTGGATCTGTATTGACTCCCTTGTGTGCTAAAACCCTCAATTGCTTTTTTCATCTTCTGTTTCTCAGCCGTAGTAGCTTCCAGCTTTTAAAAAATTTGAGCTGAATCTGAACTGTATTTACCTGCTCAACTAAACTAAACCAAACCAAACCTATGCAGCACTGTGCTCAGGTGCTCATTGTTTTTGATACTGAACGTAAGTGAATGGCTGATCATGCATAGCTAACCGTGCAGTCTGGCAAACACCATCTTTCAGTATTTTGCTAAGTCTGACTGGGTGCTGAAAACGTAGTCTTTTTATTAAATGCAGAAATATTGGTAAGTGTATCTAATGTGTATATGTTTTAATAAAGCAAACAGAACAGACATCTTAATGGAAATGGCACCACTGTAATTCATGGGCCACACTCTGACAGGAGAAACTTCTGTCCATGGTGCGCACAAACTGTTCGTTCACGTTCTCCTTTCCTGATAAATTCCTCCTATGGGAAGGCCTGGCTTGACGGCACCTTTTGTGCATGCATGTGCACGCACATGCACACACACAAACCAGGTTCCAATGGGCTCTGATATCCTCCAACTTACAGGTACCTGGGCAAATGGGAGTTTGCTTTCTCCTTATGAACCCATCTGTGTGGGAGGAAAACTCCGATTTACCCAGGCACCAGCATTCGAATGTCACAACAGATCCACGCTTCAAGGCTTCCCAGGTCCAGAAGATTTCAGTTGTGCTCCGTGAGAGCAGGAGGGGGCTGGGAAAGAAGCATGCAAGCTCAAGAACACCAAGGCTTGAAATGATTCTGAATGTAGTCATGGAGTCTTATCAAATTGCAGAGGTGTATATTACCTCTTGTGAAACTGTGCGGCTTGATGGGGGGGGGAGTGCATGCATACAGCTTATAAACAATGTTTATAATTGTTTAATTGTAGGATTTTCATTTGACTTATCACCCCTGATGACGGATAAGAGCTATGAAGTAAATACGAGTGATTATAGCTTTCATATCAATATTTGTGGCGCTGTGCCAGACGTGCTCTGCGGACAAAATTCAGCAGCGTGCCAAGTAAAGCGAAGGTAAGGTTTTATTTATGCCTTTGCTTGCCTAGTGCGTATGTGCGAAGGAGTCAGTGTTGCGAGAACTAAGGCCGTGAGCGTAAGCCGGCTCAGTCACTGACTCCAGTGGGACTAGCTTCTGAGTAAAGATGCTTCGGATCATGTGTTCCCAAACGGCATAAGACGAAGACTGTTTAAAAGAACATATAGAAAGAGTAGCTGGGGTGCAAAGAGTTAATTAGGGGAAGCCAAAGGATTTGCACTCGGCCAGGTGGATGTAACAGAAGATCTTCCCCTCAATGCCTTGGGAAAACTGCCTTGTAGCCTTAGAAGGTGGGGTGCTATCCGAAAACTGCAAGTCTAAAACCCCCTTAGCTGCCCAGGTCCAATTTAGGAGCAGTCTGGATCTTTAACATTACATTACATTTCTACAGTGGGAGAACGCTTTTAAGAAACATTTCCTTCTGGAGAATGTGACTCTTGTTGTTTACTTTTTAAAACTGTCGTCGGTGCTGAAGTGTAGTTACTGGGTGGGATGCAGCCTCTGAATGCCAGCTATATGACAGATGTCATACCTCTGTCCCTTCCCAGTGGTGTGTGAATCCAGTTCAGTAGGAACAGTGAACTCTAATCTAATATCTCATGGGCTGTTTACTGGCTCTGCAGCAGTGCAGGACTTGCCCTATTCTAGTAGTGGTGCACAGGCAACTGTTTCTCTGTCAGTGGAACAGGGCATCCTAATTGGGACTGCTTCTGTTAAGCATAATAATGATAATTAATAACAATTATCATCGTATCACATTCTGTGTAGTATAGCCAGGAGAGCCTAAGATTGTCTGGCAGCCTTAAATTCTAGCTCTTCTAGCAGTATGCACCCCTAGGTGGTGAGCAAGACTTATTGGGGGGGGTGCCTAAGTGAGAGAGCTGTGACTGACCCAAGGTCACCCAGCTGGCTTCATGCGGAGGAGTGCAGAACTGAACCTGGTTCTCCAGATTAGAGTCTACCACGCTTAACCACCACACCATGCTGGCTCTCGCTTCTGTAAGAAATCAATGAAGTTATATTTCTGTTTACTTTCAGTGGCGAAGGTAAATGGAGTCTGGGAGTTCCCAGTTCTGAGCTCTCCTACTATGATGGAATGATTCAGCTGGACTACAAAAATGGCACAATCTATAATAATCAGGAGCACACACATCGGTCTACCCACATAACTTTCTTGTGTGATCGTGAGGCAGGCGTAGGTCAGCCTGAATACCAGGTAAGAGTTGAACATGGATTATCTGATCTTCATTGGATTGGAATATTTATGTTCAGCCAACTACTAACAGGTCTCAAGGCAATCTACAACTTTTTAAAAAACAAAAACCTGCAGGTGAAAACTGTAGAGACAGATCCTTTGTTAAGCCTCTAATAGCCAATTCAGTGGAGACCCAAACCCCCACAAGAATAATTTCAGTGGGGTAGCAGGACTGCAGTGGCTCAAGTGGTTAAGATGCTGAACTGCAGACTGTGAGGTCGGTAGTTCAGCAGCTTGAGACCCGAGTGCCATATGATGGAGTGAGCTCCCGTCTCTGGTCCCAGCTCCTGCCAACCCAGCAGTTCGAAAGCAATAAATTGCAAGTAGATAAATAGGTGCAGCTTCAGTGGGAAGGTAACAGCATGCCATGTGCCTCGGCGTTTAGTCATGCCGGCCACATGATCGTGGAAATGTCTTTGGACAGCACTGGCTCTTCGGCTTGGAAACGGAGATGAGCACCGCAACCCTAGAGTAGGACTCGACTGGCTTTCGAGCAAGAGAAACCTTTACCTTTACCACTGCTGAAGAGGTTGGGCTTCATGTCTCCAGATTCTTTGCCTGAGGTTGTCCTTCTAGATTTCTGTGGTGTGCTTATTTCTCTGGATGAAAGGCACACCACAACCCGCATTCATTTGCTATAAAGTAGTCTTGCGATAGACTTGATCAGTCAGTTTGCATTCCTGTGATGGGCTGCATAGAGATACAGACATATAAATAATTTTCGACAGTGTTAAGTTAGGAAATACAATATGGCATTATCTGTAACAGTGATACGAAGTGGCATGGGAGCCACCCGTGCCACTTCTGAGCGCTGTTTCCAAGTCTGGGACCTGCCCCATTGCCTGTTGGGGCATGCGGCTGGCAGGTAGTTCCCTTCCCACCTTGAAACAGCTGCTGCCAGGAATGGGTAAGCTGCATACCTCCTTAAGGTGCAGTCTTCATGCCAGGGATGGAAGTAAATGTGGATCTTTTGATTGATGTTGGTTATGAATGTGGCTCTTTGCAAACTTCTGAATGGGTACTACTAGTTTAGAAGGATGAGGGTATCATTGGATTCCAGTGGACTCTCTGGATTCCACTTTCTGAGAGTTAAAGCTGACCCTCACATGAGAACGGAACGACATGTTTTATATTGAAGCTTGCACCTTCTCTTTATGAGCCCTAGGGTTGAGGTCCTGCCTAGATTTCTACAGGTGCAAGGTGGGGAGGGCAGTGTTCACCAATTTCTTCCTCCCACAGCAACCCAAGACATACTGTAAAATGCTGCTCTGGGGGGGGGGTGACCCTAAGGAATAGCCTTGGGGAGGAATAGGAGGTGGGGAGGCTACTAAAAATCTCTCCTCTCCTTGCGCTCCTGGGAGTTTAGGCAGGATCCAATCTCCTGTGTATTTGTTTTTCAGCTTTGCTAATTATATATGTTGTTTTTTGGTACTGTGTGGTCATGGTAATTTAGGAGGAAGACAATTTCACATATAACTTCAAGTGGTACACCAGCTATGCCTGTCCAGAAATACCCATAGAATGTGTTGTCATAGATACACAAACCATGGAGCAGTACGATCTTTCAAGGTAAACAACAAAGGATTATGTGCGTAAGACTTAAAATGTAGATGTAAGTGCTTGGTTCATGAGTTCTTGCTGTCCAAATAATGTTTTGGACTTAATGCTGGCATGTGCGCAAGGATTCACTGACCTTGTGGAGCTGTACTTTCCCTGCTTCCTCTTGCTGCTGCAGGTCTCTGAGCTGACTGAAATTTATCTCCTGGTGGTCAGTGGACCCTCAAACAGCATAGAGGGCAATTGGCAGAAATCACAGCGCTGCCTTCTGGAGTCTTTGGTGCATATAAGTTTTCAGGATTGTGTAGCTGGATGCATGCCACTCATTCTTTCTCCGTTTCCCACAAGTTTGAAACAACTGGTTCATGGGGGGGGGGCGGCATATGAAGAACATAAGAGAAGCCAATGTTGGATCAGGCCAATGGCCCATCCAGTCCAACACTCTGTCACACAGTGGCCAAAAATATCAGATGCCATCAGGAGGTCCAGCAGTGGGGCCAGGACACTAGAAGCCCTCCCACTGTTGCCTCCCCAAGCACCAAGAATACAATGCATCATTCACCCCAGACTGAGTTCCTATCTATACCTTGTGGCTAATAGCCACTGGTGGACCTCTGCTCCATATGTTTATCCAATTTCCTCTTGAAGCTGTCCATGCTTGTAGCTGCCACCATCTTCTGTGGCAGTGAATTCCATGTGTTAATCACTCTTTGGGTGAAGAAGTATTTCCTTTTACCCATTCTAACCTGACTGCTCAGCAATTTCATTGAGTGCCCATGAGTTCTTGTATTGTGAGAAAGGGAGAAAAGTACTTATTTCTGTACCTGCTCTACCCCATACATAATCTTGTGAACCTCTATCATGTCACCCCTCAGCGGTAGTTTCTCCAAGCTAAAGAGCCCCAAGCTCTTTAATTTTTCTTCATAGGGAAAGTGTTCCAACTTTTTTATCATTCTAGTTGCCCTTTTCTGCACTTTTTCCAATGCTATAATATCCTTTCTTGGGGGGGTCAACAGTGGGAGGGCTTCTAATGTCCTGGCCCCACTGGTGGACCTCCTGATGGCACTGGTATTTCTGGCCACTGTGTGATACAGAGTGTTGGACTGTATGGGCCTTTGGCCTGATCCAACATTGGCGTCTCTTGTTCTTATGTTCTTATGTTTCTGAGGTGTGGTGACCAGAATTGCACACAGTATTCCAAATAAGGTTGCACCACTTATTTATACAGGGGAATTATGATACTGGTTGATTTGTTTTCAATTCCCTTCCTAATAATCCCCAGCATAGTTTTGGCCTTTTTTATTGCGGTCACACACTGTCTCGACATTTTCAGTGAGTTATCTACTACAACTCCAAGATCTCTCTCTTGATCAGTCTCTGCCAGTTCAGACCCCATCAAAGTGTATTTATAGTTAGGATTTTTGGCCCCAATATGCATTACTTTGCACTTGGCCACACTGAACCCCATTTGCCATTCCTTTTTTTTTTTTTTTTTTTTTACAACATATTTTATTAGGTTTTGCCTTCGTAACATTATAACATACATAAACACATTGGTGTATTAAGTACATAAAGATTGTTTCCATTTGCCATTCCTAATGATTGTTTGTGTTGGGCTTCTAGTTGTAGAAATCATGAGTATACTTGGACTTGCCGTGTTCTGATGAGATGGAGGTTGTTGCACCTTCACTACTACATAGTCAAACATAAGTCTCTGTCTGGCCTAACTTGTAATATTCTTAGCATGTTTGTTACCAGAAGAGGCACAAATGGAGCAGTGAGCAAGTGCTGTGCTACTTCTCAGTGAATCTTTTTGCTAATTGAACTCTTTGTTCTGAACCAAAATCAACCTGTATATTTGCAAATTTCAGTTTATCATTGTATGGAGACAGAAAGGAAAACTGGTTTGCCATGGACAACTCAGAAGAGGGCTCACGCAAAAAATATTACATAAATATCTGCCGTCCATTGAACCCTGTCCCAGGCTGTGACAGACGGGCATCAGTCTGTGAAATGACATACAAGAACGTTGCTGTGAGTATCTCCATGCTAATGGTAAAAAGGCAATCAATTTTTGCAAAGAATCCCCAATGTTAGAGAACCAGATATTCATACTTCAATTGCACATCCTTCCGGTATCATCCTTTATTTTGAAATATTGTAGGGATTTATCTAAGATCATTTCTCAGTATTGTACTGGAAGCAGCGCCCACCCTGGAAATAGAATTTCCTATTCATTGCCCCCATAGCAAACGAAGTTTAGTTATTTTTTTGTGGATGCTAAATACCTGGAGGGTGTTAATTGCTGGCAACAGTACAGCTGCCCTAGGTGTGTGTGTGTGTGGGGGGGTTCAAAAGACCTCTTGTTTCACACACACACGTCTTATGGAGCAATTGGACTCTATTGGGCTCTAGTCTATAAAGAGTGGTTCAGGAATAAAATTTAATTGGTTTTAAGGTGTCATAAGACTCCTATCTGTGTTTGCTTCAGCAAATTAACATTGCTGCCTCCCTGGAATCCCCCGTTTCGTCAGCTTTGTCCTCCGTTTGACTGATAAGCAAGTTTAAGCATAGAGATTGTGATCTCTGAAGAAATGGGAGTAGATGTGGTGTGATGATTCGTGGGTTGTTCTTGTTGTCTACTTTTGGAGGAGATACTGCTTATACAATTGGTTTGTCTCTACTTTGTCTGTTCATATTGAATATATTGCTACTACTTATGTGTAAGGCTCTGGATCTTCTCATACCTTCACTTGATCGTTCTGTTTCATTTACCCCCTTTTTTTGTTAAGCACCTTGTCTTCAGCATCTGCTCAGTTTTGTCTTCTTTTTCTTATATCTCTGTGTGTATTACTGTATCCATCTTCAACTTTGCCTGTGTTGAAAAGAATACTTTCCTTCATTCTCCCTTCTTTTGTTCCTAAGTGTGTCTCATTTATCACCAGTCTGCAGGCCTCTTTCTTTTTTGGCCAGTGCTTTTGAACTGCATGCTCTAGATTTGAAATACCGTTACGGTATTAATTTACTTTAATCTCAGCTACTCCTTACAGCATGGCTTAGAACAGCCCTTTTTCTCCTCTGAAAACGCTCTCTGTGCTTTATATATCCACTCCAGACTGGTTCCTCAGAAATCACCTCCATCAGCAGCCTTGGAATTGCCAGTCACGGGCCAGTTATTGAAGGGCCTGGAAGAATCCTCCTAAACTACACCAATGGATCTTTGTGTGGCGAAGACAAGGCAGTGCCTTTCACAAGCCTAATCCATCTCATCTGCTCCAAGGGTACTACTGTAAGTGGCTGGACAACTTCTTTCTCCTCTTACTGTGACTTTGTAGGTCATCTGATCTTTCTGGAATCGCGCTTGATGTGATTTGGACCTGTAATACAGAGAGACCTTAGTACTGCGCCTTTCATAGTTGAAAAATGCTGTGCATTTGGCTCATCGGTGCTGATGGTTGTAGTATGATAGAGCCTGTAGGAATTGACTTGGATGAAGCATTTCCTGGTAAACCTAGTTTTGGATGGGATGCTAGTAGTTACTGGGCTTTTATCCAGGCTCTCCTTGGTATGTACTGGAAAGGCAGGGGAAACTAAACTGTAGTAATTCACCTTAGTACAGTTTTTTTGCAAAAGTGTTCATGTGATGTAGACTCCTTTATTTTAAACAAATCTCAGATTTTAGGCAAGCCTTGCCTGTGTGCTAAAGATAAGCCGTTGTTGGTCACCCTCTTAATTGGAAGCAAAGGGACAAGCAGCAGACTTTTCTGCTTTTCTGAGGTGGGGGATGGGGTGGATCAGCCAGGTTATGCTATCAGGGACATTCAGTCTACCCAGGGTGTAGCTAGTGGGAAATGAAAGAACCACCTGCCTCTGGATTTCCTCACTCCTTGGAACTTTGTGCCCCCCCCAATTATATAACTTGAAAATTACTCATTATGCAAAATGGGATTTGGCAGCTGTCCTCTGGAATTGTGGTTATGTCCTTCCCCTCCATTTTCGTAGTGGCTTTCTTTGGGCGGGAGACTAGTTGCTGGCCAAGTACCTCAGACAGAATATTTATAAGCTGAGAGGAGAGGAATTTCCTGGTTCAGAAATCAAGTTTCAGATTAAATTAAATTGATCCTAAATTCGAGCCCACTTTCCAGAATGCATCAGGAGCCTGTGATGCATGCTGGTGTCTGTAGTTCCCAGAGTGTACTGGGTGCAATGGACACTTCATGTCCAGTTGCTTTGTTGGGAGAAGGAAGAGAAGAAGAAAAGAGGCAGCAAGAATTTCCCTCCCCTCAGTTGCCTGTTGGTACTGCTGCATCATTTTTTTGCAGCAGTGCAGGTAAGTTGAGGTGGGAGAATGGAGATTCAAGGGCAAAAGGAGTCCCCTAGAGCTTTATGGCAGTCCGCCTATGTCACCATGAGATGTGCCATAGTGTTCTGAGCTCAAAATCAAACTTGGGATAAAAGTACTTGCCAATTTTTTAGTAAATAGCTTGGTTTGTCAGAATCCAGTTCTAAAGAAGAGCTAAGCTCACCCATTTCTCCTTAAAGTTTGCTTGAAGAGATACTACAGCTTGTCCATTTAAAATGGCTGCCCAATGAAATCAGGCTGGGTTATGTGGAATATACACTATATACTGAATGCCAGTTTTTGATCAGGTGAAATCTTATTTACCCCACTCAACTTGTACGTTCAGCATTTTAACATCCAAAAACGGAATATTGCATGTTATAAGGAACATAACCTGCATCATGTGAACGTGTTTGTGTAGCTGTTTTGCATAAATGTTGACATTCTGTAAAGTATCAAAAGGGCATTGAGGTGGAAAAGATACCCTTCTTAAAAAGCTACAACACCAGCAGCTGAAAACATGTTTCAGAATGATATATCATCAGAAATTGCAGCAAACTTATATTAAGTTTGTGTGGTCCTTGTGAAGCTGGTTTGTTCTGAGCGCTGCTTGCCTTGACTTACTTGTCACGTGTATTTCCAGAGTAGCAGCCCAAGTTTCTTGGAGATTAAAGAATGTGTTGCAACGTTTCTGTGGGAAACTGAAGCTGCTTGTCCAGTTGCAATAACAGAAGGAGACTCTCAGGTGAGAAGCAGAGACTGTAACAGACGATCTTGTAACTCTTGGACATATTGCATGTGCTTAGATAATCTATGGTCCTTACTGTCCAAATCCCATACATGTTTACTTTGGAGTTGATACTACCACATTTTGGAGGAAAGTAAACTTATAGTCTTCGACATCTGCAGTTGCAAGGAGAACTGGCCGTAACTTCAAGGCACTTTCTTTCTCCCTGTCTGTAGGGAATTAACTTCTGTAGGTCCCAGTAATCCTGTTTATATTGCATTCTACTGAGTTCTAAAGTAGCAACAATCCATCCATATAATCTACTTTGAAGGTAGCCTAAAATTGGTCTTGTACAGTGTTACTACAGTTGATTCAGTGGACTTTAAGTGGAATAACTCGGCACAGGATTGCGTTATCTGTAACCTGACGAATATGGAAGGTATCTCCTCCCTTTACCTGTCTGCTTCAAATGTGAAAGTACCTTAGATATTTAAGTTTTGATTACATCTGTTCTCTACCTGTTTGACCTTTTGTAATTTATGATTATTTTGCAGAGTTGTTCTGTAAAAGATCCCAACAGTGGCTTTGAGTTTAACCTGGAACCATTAGCTTCAGAAAATGGATATCTTACCATGGGCTTTGAGAAGGCATACTTGGTAATCGTGTTCTTTTCTTGTTTCCTTTTCCAAGTATAGAGTTGTATATTGCCAAGATTTATACCCTTCTGCTGTATAATGAGTAATTGAACAGCAGCTCTCTAGCAGAAATAGAAAGCATTAAGTTCTCTTCTTCCATGTTCATGAAAAGAACTTTCAGTTGAGTTGATGATCACTAAGCACCAGATGAATAGAGGGAAAGACTGATGAAGCTTAAAAAGAAATGCAGGCAGAATTCTATGAGACTTTTAAATCTTGCTGGCAAATGTAGAACTTACATAATGCACATTTATGTCGTGGGGTGGGGGGCCCTGAAAGTTGCCCTGCCATTGTACTAGCAACAACACACAAGATGAGGCTAGTGCACAAAGAATAACTGAATGAATAAGAATAGTCTGTAATCAAGAGGCCAGAGCTTCTAAGAGTCATCAGAGCAACTAATAAGTACTATATGTTGAATCTCTTAGTTAAATATTTGTGGACCTGCGAATGTTTGTGGGACCGTTGACGGTAGTCCAGCTGCTGGGTGTGAAACGCATGATCTGAAACACGTTCATTTGGTGAAACTGAATAAAACCCTTCAACTATCAACAGAAGGATCTCTGACACTTACTTACACTGGTAATTACCTTAGAATCACATTGGTCTGCTTTATTTTTGTTGGCTACTAGTGACCTAGGCTGCAGTGCTAGGATTTGTAGCTTTCATTATGCCGGCTGTCATATCTAGAGAAGGTTAGGTTGGGAGCAGGTGGCCACTGTTATAATACATTACTGTTACACCTGCCCTGCCTCCAAGCAGCGTGGAGCACCATACGTGGTCTTCTTCCAATTTTAATATCTTCATCTGACCATAAAGATATGCAGTGACTCTTGCTGATTCTGGGGGTTCTCATTGAAACTGTGCAGCTTTATAAGCTGTACTTAAATTGAAGAAGGGTGCACCAGCTCTTAATTTTTGTTGGCTTTAGGTAATGAGCCTCAGGAGTTCCACAGCTGCCTTCCCTTTTGATTTGAGTGGTTTTGACCATGGTGGGGAGCAATGTCCCCTCAAAGCTATGGAGCCCTGTGAGCAAAAATTCTACTTTGTGAGCTCCTGGCATTAAAGTTGTGAGCAGCAGCTTTGGCTGCTGCATAAATTAGTTTGCTCTGGAGCCATCCCTTCCTGAGCTAAGACAAAAATGTGTGAGCCAGAGGCTAAAAAACTGTGAGCTAGCTCACACTAACTCAGCTTAGAGGGAACACTGGTGGGGAGGTACTGGGAGCACTGAGGGGCAATTATGCTGCTATATATTCAGTGTTCATTTTGGTCACTCGTTTAGCACTAGAGCTTGTTCTGGAGGCTGCATGGGGGGGTCCATTACAGTGCTGAAGTGTCATGAGAATAGGAATGTGGGTGACAAATGTGCATGATTTTAAAGGGGTGTAAAGGCTTTTTAAATTTAGAAGCGACTGTTTGATATCTTGATTTGGAACGGTTTCACTCTTCAGGACCAGCTGACCGTTTTACTGTGAACTTTATCTGCAATGAATCCTACCCCGGAGAACTCAAATTTGTGCATGAAGAAATGAATTCTGCACAAAACTTCACCAATATCTATTTTGAGTTTCATACAGCCTTGGCCTGCCCACCTGCTCCAGTAGACTGTCAGGTTACTGGTAAGTAAATTGAAGTAGGGAGATTCCCTGGGATTCTATATTTTAGCACACTATGCAGATCATACACTTTTAACTAAGCACACAGCTGGGAGGTTGCATAACTAACCGGCATTAGACTCTTAAAGTTTGTGTTGTATTATAAAAAGGTTAGCTTGTTTAATTTGGGAGTCAGTTATGCTTTATAAACCTTTTTTTCCACCTTCTTCCCTTTTCTGTGTTTCTGCCTTGCATTGAAATACCCAATTTAAAAATCTTTAAATGGCACAAAAGAGAATAATAAATTATCAACAGCCAACAACTAAAACAGCACTGATCAGTAAAACAATAGACAAGTAAATCAGTTGAAAGGTCTTCTGGAGCAAGGAGGTCTTTCATCTCCTGCTACAGGCCTGAAAAGACTATGCCAGTCTCACCTTCTGTTGAGGGAGCTCCACACCTGGAGGGTGCCACTCAAGAAAGCCCTCCCATGAGTCCCTGCAACCTAACCTCAAATAATGCAGGTTCATGCAGGAAGCCTCAACAATTGATCTTAAAACTTGGGCAGGTTGGTATGGGTGGGAGGCTGTCCTTCAAGTATTCAAGCTGTTTAGGGCTTTAAAGATCAAAAAGAGCACACTAAAGATTGTGAAAGTGTGTGGGGAATGTGGGAGTGGGAATTAAATTGTGGCCCTCTGCTTTATCCAACTTTGACTCATTAAAGCCGTGTATACCTTCTCCAAAAAAGGGAGAAGGTATTCTTAATTGTTCTGCTTTATTGACAACCTAAACTAAAGAGCTGACCATAGTAAAAACATGTAACAAGGTACTGAAGTTAAAGTATGCCCTTTGCTTATTTGGGATCCAAGATGAAGAAGTGTTGAAAAGGAAAGAGTCAAAGTCTTTCAGCATTTCAAGCTAAAGTGTGTTTAAATTCTGTACCATGCTTGAATAATGTGTCAGTAGGAACATTTGTCCTGTATCTTGTGGTTACTGGACTGTCTAGCAGAGATTGTGTTCTTTTGGAGTTTGTACAGGGTGGTTGTTGGACTGTCAACCCCAGGTGCTTGTGTTTTGGGGAGCCAAGTAGTTTCCTTTTGCCAAAGTTCATTCCACTCCATGATCATAGCTGGGAACAGTAAACCTGTACCATTGACATAGTCAGGGTCCCAAAGCCCCTTGCCAGTTGGTTGCTCTTAAGAGCATAAGAAGAGCCCTGCTGGATCAGACCAGTGGCCCATCTAGTTCAGCATCCTGTCTCACACAGTGGGCCACCAGTTACTCTGGTGGGCCAGCAGGGTAGAGGCCTTGCCCCGATGTTTCTTCCCTTTCCCCTTAGTTACCATCTCTAGTAGCCGCTGAAAGACCTATCCTACCTGAATATAGCTAACTGTATACTCTGGCAGCAGAGTTCACATTTTAATCAAGCATTTCTTTTTGTTTGTCCTGAATCTACTGCCTGCTGAAATCAGATGCCTCCAAATTCTGGTATTTGGGGAGAGGGAGAAAAAGTTCCCTGTCCACTCTCTCTGCCCTGTGCCTCATGTTATAAGCTCTATCACTCTCCTCTTAGTGGTGTCTTTCCCAGACTGAAAAGACTCTTCAGCCCGTTCTCCTAGGAAAAGTGCTCCAGCCCCTTAATATTCATGGTTACCCTTTGCTTCCTGTTCTTTGGATTCCCAGGGACATAAGTGAGGGAAGGAAAAAATAAGTCTTGAGACCTTTGGGACTGGGTGCTCTGATGACAGTGGTGTGAAGCAGCACCTTTAGTGCCATGAGCTTCTTGGTGGCCTAGTGATCGATTCATTAGACTCTGCTTCATCAGGAACATGAAATCTTGTAGAACTAGAATCATATCTTGCTCTTCAATCACTGATCCATGGAAGTGGGATTCACTTGGATGAAGTGTGCTTAATCAAGCTTTTTTTGTTTCCTGGATTTCAGATTCTGCTGGCAATGAATATGACCTAAGTGACTTGAGCAAAGACAGCAAGCCATGGGTTGCACTAGATACTTCGAAAGATGCAAAAATAAGGAGTTTCTATTTGAATGTTTGTAAACCTCTTCCCTACATCCCTGGGTGCCCCAGTAAGCATCTCAATTTATGACTTCTGTAGTAGAATTGGTTCAGAAAGCCACTAGCGCAACAGGCTATGTGCATGCTCCCCCCCCCCCACTATAAAATCTCTCTGCTGTATTCTCTTTTGGTGTAGTGGCTAGGAGCGCAGACTCTAATCTGGGCGAACCGGGTTTGATTCCCCACTCCTCGACTTGCACCTGCTGGATGACCTTGGGCAAGCCATTGTTCTGGCACAGCTGTTCTTGAAAAAGAGCAGTTTCTGTCAGAGCTCTCTCAGCCCCACCCACCTCACAGGGTGTCTGTTGTGGGGAGGGGAAGGGAAAGGAGATTGTAAGCCGCTCTGAGACACCTTTGGGTAGTGAAGGGCGGGGTATAAATCCAATCTCCTCCTCCTCCTGCTCCTGCTGTTCTGCCCTATTATTGTATAAGAGAGGTGTTATATATAGTTTCTCTGGCTTCCATTAGTTTAACTACTTGTGTGTCACAGCTTTGGGTAAGGCAGCTGAGCGTGAAGGGGACTTATTTTCTTAGGTAGTTCGTGGCTAGGCCATAACGGCTTTCAAATGTTATTTAGTTGATGAAATTTAATTGAGCTGTTCCTGAGGCTTTTGATGGATGTAGAGGTGGTGCTAATTGCTTATAGTATAAAGCCCGTTGAGCATAGTGGTTCGAGTGTTGGAGCAGGATCTGGGAGACCCCGTTCTAGGGTGAAGTTCTCTGAGTGAACTTTGGCCAGTCACTCACACTCAGCCTAATGTACTCCACAGGTCCGTGAAGGACTTCATAGCTAATCCACCTGCACACTGAACTGAACCCAGAGACTAAGTGGTAACCAGTCGAATAGGCAGAACAAAGTTTGAGTCCAGCGGCACCTTTGAGACCAACAGTTTTATTCAAGATACATATGCTCCATGTGACTCCTAGTAGCAATTGAGCTGTACCAGTTGAAGCTTGCAGGTTGACTCAAAGGGCAGTTCTGTGTAGAGTGCGTTACCATAGTGTTAACTTTGAGGTTGCAGAGTTATGGATTCACATGCTCAGATCAGGGTAGGAAACTATCCTTTGGGCTCAATGAAGATGAAAGAAACCATGTTTTGCAGCTGAATTTAAGTTGCTTCTATAGCCATAATGCTAGCCCAGAGCCTCCGTTGAGTCAACAAGGGTCAGCTGAACCAAGAACCGCATCAAATGTGGGAAGCAGAATATCTTCCGAGACCTCAGTCTTACCAACTATAGCATCACCTCTATCTTGTCAGGATTTGAAGAGAGCAGAAAGCATTTCAAAGTCCTTCTGACCTCTTTAAAATGATTAGTGTGACTTTTAGTGAAACATAAAACCAGGTGTTGAAATGTTCCCTCTTGGCTGCAGGTGGTACAATAGGAGCTTGTATGAAGAATGCAGACAAAGGGCAGAGTCTTGGCGTGATTCAGATAAGTCCTCAAGCAGCCTCAGATGGGTCACTTAGCATTGTATACTTGAATGGGGACAAATGCAGAGGTAACAAGCGGTACTCAACACGAATCATCTTCCAGTGCGATCAGTCTATGGTAAGATTTTATGTGCTGCAGCCTCTCATACATAGGTGCGGTTGAACAGAATTAGTGAGTTTGAAAGGTTGGGGCTGGTCTGTCTACCCCCCAGTTTAGGCTGGCTTCGCTGCTGCAGCTGCAGCTTCACCTCGCTGTGTATGTGAAGGTCAGCATCTCTTTTCTCATGGGAGAAGAATGAATGAACCAACTGCATGTGTTGCTCAGAATGGTTGTCTCCTTCTAGCCTCAAGGGGTTGGTGGCCATCCGTGCCTGGGTGAAAGTGAGACATCGTGTGTGGAGCTACTATTGTTTGCTATTGAGGTGCTTTCCAGGATGCTGTTGCTGCTCGTCCAGATGCATAGGGTTCTGGCAAAGTATGTGGGGCTGGATTCTATGGATCCATTCATAGCACTTTGTTCCAGCAGAAGAGCCTCTTCCACTAGTAGAAGAGACTCTTAGGAGTCCTGCTAGATCAGAACAATGGTCCATCTCTAGCCCCACATCCAATCCCAGACAGTGCCCTACCAGTTGCTCTGGAGGGCAAGAAAACAAGGCCTTTCTCTGATGTTGACCTCTGGAACTGGTATTCAGAAGCTTGCTGCTTCTGCCTATGGAGGTTCCTTTTACTCACCGTGGCTAGTAGCCATTGATGGACTTCTCCTCCATAAATCTCTCTGTCTTTTTAAGCCATCTGTGTTCATGGCCATCACTGCATTCTCTTATATTGGCCAAAGTCTCCTTGTGTTGCAGGAAGGCACCGCCATCCAATCCAACAGTTCTTTAACCATGATATTTGTCCTTTTATCCTCTTCCCCCCCCCCCAAAAAAAACACACAACACCTGTGGACATTCAGATATCAGCTGAGCTCAGTCCAACTGAGATGGTGTTGACCTAAGGACTGCTTTACAGCTTACAACTTCATTGGGGGGGGGGATCAGGTTTCCGTGTGGGCCAAAGTGCTCTATGTTGTGATATTTGCAATACGGTTGAAGTGGAGGCTGCCTCTGTCATGACTCATGGGATCTCTGTTCCAGCAGCTCAACGGCGTGCCTCTGGCCGAAGGAGCTGTGCTGCTGCCATTCCTGCTCTGGCTGCTTTCTCTTCTTTATGAAAATTCATTTCTGCAAAAACTGCAACATACCAAATGGTTGCAGGCTGGGTCATTTACAGGATGTGCAAACACCGCGACTTTTGGGCTCCTGGGTTTTCCTGCCAACCCTGTGCTACTTGGAATTTGGATACACTGGAGTGCTAGTTGTATATCTCAACACTGGCAAGCTGGGAAGGTGGTTTACAGGGTGTTTGCATAGGCAGATAATGTGTTGAGCTTGAAAGTGTCAATATATAAAACTGGCCCACTCCCCCTTCTCATTTTTATGCTGTAGGGATCACCAGTCTTCCAACATGAAGAGGATTGTGAGTTTGTGTTTCTCTGGCAGCACGTGGCAGCGTGTCCTGTGCAGAGAGCAGAAGGCAAGTATGGGTGTTTGGTGTTGGCTTTTCAAAAAACATGTGCCTCTAAAAGCCCTTGTGCAGAAGTGCTCTGTTTCCTACCATGCACAGTGCTGCTTAATTGAGCCCTTTCTGGTCTCTGCCTTCCCCCGGGCATATCTCAGAACCTCTTCTGGTTGCCAGGTGTTCATGAACAAAATGTTTCACAGAGCAGGTAGCTGCAGTGAGGGGATGGATTCAGGCAAAATTGCTCTTCCTGGAACAGCATGAAGTTGGGAATTGGAAAACTGACCCCCGACCCCTACCCCACCCCGGTTCTTTAGGATCTGGGAGTGATATGACATGCAGCTTAGTGGAAGTATGCAGAAAGAAGGGGAGTCGACAGAAACCGCCCCTTCTTTTTAATGATTGCATAAATTACAATGACATAATGAAATTAATAGCTATAGATCTTTAATAATAATAATAAGCCCTGACTTGGATAGCCCAGGCAAGCCTGATTTCGTCAGATCTCAGAAGCTAAGCAGAGCTGACCCTGGCAAGTATTTGGATGCAAAACCTCCAGAGAATACCAGGGCTGGGAGGATGGAGGCAGGCGATCAAGCCACTTCTCTGAATGTCCTCCATGCCCCAGTAGGAGCCTCCAGAGGTCGCCATGACTTCCAGGCATGGGTGCAGGTGCGCACACGCGCACACACAAATGCAAAAACACCAAACCTCCCCCCAGTAATAATGGTGATAATGATAATAATAGTGATAATAATAGGTTTATTCTGATGTCTCTGGTTGGTGGGCTGACCTGGTTTAGATTTTGCTGTAAATTCAGGTGTAAGGGTTAAGTTCTATGTGTGGCCGTGTATCTTATCTTTTTTGTTTTTCGTTTTTTTAAAAGGTGAGAATTGTCAGGTGAAAGATCCAAGGTATGGTTATGTGTATGACCTGAAGCCACTTTCTGGGAAGGAAATAAAAGTAAGCACTGATGAATATGACTACTACTTCGGTATCTGCCAGGGATTGAGAACAACGAAGTGCAAAGATCCACCCCAAAAAACTGATGTAGTATCATCATGTCAAGTAAAGAAGCAAAACCCATCTATTAAAAAAATAGCAGGTAAAGTCCTCCTGGGATTTACAGAATATCGGTCATGTGAATAGAGAGCTGCCAGCTCTGCAGGTAACAGGCACACGGAGAGCCCTGATATAGGCTTCCAGAATGAATGGCCAAATTGTCCTTTTTAATTTAAAACCACTATGCGCGTATCATTGCTCTTTAAAGGGGTTGCCTCTTGGAAGCTGTTGTGTAGGAAAAGTCTCATGCTCCAAGGTCCATATCCGCTTCCATTTGACTGAAAAGTGTGGAGATCCAAAAAATGACTTTAGGGTTTGGTTGCTTTTGCAGTTGGATGTATCCTGATTGAAGCTGGATGTATTCACCAGAACGTAAAGTTAGCTAGAGCCTCTAAGCAGCTCAGAGCAGCATGTGGCCCTCCCCAGTTTATCCTCACAAGAACCCTGTGAAGTGAATAGGCTGGTGCATAATCACCCGGTGATCCTCACAGCAGGGATTTGAACCTGGGTCTTCCCAATCTTAGTTTGATACTAGACACTAGGCCACCACGACTTGTAACACTTAACATTTATAGAATGCTTGCAGTGTTTGAAGTACTGTACAATACATTGCCTACTCAGGCACATTGAGGTCCAGGGTTTTACACTTGGAAACTATTTTTCTTTTAGGCCTAGAGTCATCCCCTTTATAGAAGTGTAAGTCAGATCAGGATGGTGCAGAATATTTGGGGGGGGGGAATCTCATTAAGTATTTAGGAATGGAGTTTCTTTAACACAGGACAGTACTGTAGTGAAAGCCACATCACAATTACCATAACCAAAAGAGCCACAGGACTACTGTTTGACCTGTGTGACACTTCTCCAAACACAAGCATACAATAATATAAATATTAAATGTATAACTACAACTTTGATTGCCAGAATACTCTAATCATATAGAGTTTTCTCTGCCCAACACTGTTGAACCTGCCTGCACTTTATTTCCTCACTGTCTTCCTGCTCTT